GGCCTAGTCTCTCCCAATTCATGGGTGGTGACCATGCTTGCAGGTCCTTCCTGTGGAATAATCCTCAAATCCAACCAAAAGAGTCATTGGTTACCCCATGAAAAGTCTTCATAGTGTTGCACCAGTGACGCCATGAATTTCTGTTTTGATGTACATCATCGAGTGGCCAATTAGTAAGCCGATGACTAAGACTGAGATTTCTGGGCTTTTTTCTTATATTGTAAAATATGTTATTTAGCAAAATTGTATTGGGGGGAACAGCATTAGTCATCTTCCTTTGTGTTTAGTACTCTGGGTAATTTTCTACTTTCTGTTCAATTTTAGAGCTATATCCACAATTTAGACAATGCTTCATTTTCTGGAACTTTTATTATTTATATAATGTGCAATGATAGAAAATTCCTTTGTTGTTTAGATTTAATGATAATAATTGATTAACTGTCTAATGAATCATTTAAAAAAATAGAAAGCGATTCCCATACACAGTTATATTTTGTATTCCAATACTGTAGTAAATAATAGAATCATAGCTATTGATTTAGTATTGGCAAGTGTTCTGAGTTTTTAAAAGAATATACTATTTAATTCTCAATGCAATTGTCTTAGTGTCTTTTTACTATTCCAGTGAAGTCACTGGAATGACTCAGAGGCTAAAATAAAATATGCAAATATGCAAAAGGTTTATCTATTGAATTTCAAACACAGTTTCACCAAATATGCACCACATAAATACTGTATTATTTTATTTCATAGACATAAAAAAGGCTCAAAAATTGTGTCACTGGAAAAAATGCAAGCAAATAGAGATAAATTTTAATTCATGTCTTGACAAGGTATATTTTAGTTATTCTTTAAGGGGTCTCGAGCAACAATAAAAACTCAGATTGTTGAAGAACTACATGGCTAACAATCATAACAGTGTCTGTTTAGAACATGCAAAACTTGTTTTTAATGACATGATTAAAGTCATTGGCTGCCACCAGGCCCATGGTCCCTGTTGTGTTCATCAGCGTACAACCTGGGCATTGGCTAATTTGCTGTAAAATTATTCTTCACTGAACACTCCCTGCCACTGGACTCCTGAGGAGGAGGAGACATGTTCTCTGTCCTTGTTTCCTTGTGGGTGAGTAAATAATGTGGGTTATGAAAAACAAAAGGGTCAAATTTGAATTAAGAACATGAAGTAAAACCATTAACTACTAAGAATAAAGAAAGGGACTTTTTTGCTTAAGACATCATGGAGCTGATGGGCAGGATTATTACTGAATTTTTCAAATGTCCTTTTGTAGCAAAGAAGGTCAATTAAATGCCAAATTGTTAGACAGACTGATACCTCACCAGCAAGAATTCCTCACCTTAAATGAATCATAATGTGCATGGGTGTTATTAACATCTAGAAATCTCAATATGTGTACTAAACTATCTAAACTAAAATTGGGAAGATTTTTAGGTATAGAATCATCATGTAGAGTTGCTGATTTGGGAAATAGTTTAATTTCTTTTTCTTCTTTTAAGATGTAAAGTAAAAGAAATATGAACTGAATGAATAAATCCATGATGATCCCTGTTGACTGCCGCTCTTTCTATATCCTTGAATAACCATCTTTGAAAGGCACCTTGTATCTTTTAAGGTGAGAACATAGGAGAAACTAAGACAAATGTTAACAATCATTATCTGCTTTCTAACACTCTAGGATGCTACAGAATATACATTCTACTTTTTTATTCTATACACACACACATTCATTCTAATGAGAAGTAATACAATCTACCAATTTCCCTTTGCATAAAGGTATAATCTATATGGTACAAAATATGTAAACATATATTAATATGTAATATGTATGAAAATATTTTTGGACATGAAAATTTTATTTGTATAATTTTCTTATTCTAGTATGGAAGGGAGAAGATTTATTATTCTCCTTGTAAGGATGCCAATGTTGGAAATTCCAGCATGGCTTTCTACTTTTGTTATTCCCATCCTACCCCAGCTAACTAAAACTCTGCTAGCCAGCCAGATGCAGAATTTCTCCAAGGGAGGAATCCCATAGTACCTTCTTGACATTTTTAGGGAAATATCTCATGTTTTAATGCAATTTTTATTCAACTTCTTTTTCTCCTCTTGTCTTTGTGTTGAAGCCGCCACCAGAAACAGATGGCTCAAATTTTCAACAATATTCCTCTGCTTTTAATTAAATCCTTCCCCTCCACAAAGTATGTATAAATAATTACAACACAAGAAAAATGAATATATACAATCACAAATTCTTTTCTAGGCAGTATCTGAGCTTAATATACACAGAAATACAAAAATAATCTGGTGCCTGTCTATTTTCACATGTCATTTCTTTCTAAAAGATAGTAAAACTAAATTCTGATAAATATTACAAGGACATTTGTTATACTTATGCCTCTGTAACTGTGATAAAAAGAGACTCTTTCAGCTTATTAAAGAATATTTTTGTCTAATTTAAAGAAACACTGCAGGCTGAATATAAGAATTATTCCAGCATAGAAACATTTGGGTGCCTAGTTCATCAAATATTTCTATGTCTTATTTTACATTTTTATCAACTTTCAACATCCCAGGGGATTAATAGCCATACAGATTATCTTAGTGAAAAGTTTGCCCAGTAAACGCTTAGGAAACTCTTGGCATACTTATTTATTATAATCACAATTCTGATGCTTAATTACAAACACTAAAGACATCCAAGTTTATATGGATATGTGCTTTCTGGAACCACCTCAGCATTTTGTTGTAAGGATCATACTTTCTGTGTAAGGGAGAGCCCTGATTTCTCTCCCAGATCTGTTTCAGTGGGACTTTGACAATTGCCATCAGCTGTCTACACTGCAACCCTACACCTAATGGTGGTAGCACTTCAGACTTTGGAATGTAACACAGTCATCTTAAGGCATTGTTGAAAACCAAGGGCAAAGCTTCACCCAGGAAACTGGGGATTGAGAGAGATCTAAAATGCTGCATGATTTACAGGTTGTCATTGATACTAAAGCTACCACTCCTGCATCACCTTTTCTAGAGCAAACAGATACATGTTTAGTACAGTAGGCACCTAGCACTTATTCTGCTGGGTGACATGAAGTGTTCTTAAGGAACCAAATTGACTTAATTGAGCTGAATCCTCTCACCATGAATGCGTCTTCCTATTCCTCAAATTCTCAGTCTAGTATGACACCTCCTTCTCTTTCCCTATGTTTTATTTCCTCCACATATTGGAACTAATGTTGACTGTGAGGCTTCTCTTTCCCTTTATTGTTGGAACATGTCACAGCACTAATCCCTGCATCTAAAATAGTATGTGACATAGTTTCACCATTGCATAAAATCACACGCATCCAATTGAGGGGCAAGAAGACAAGTCATAGAGGGGAAACAATTTAAGAAACGAAAGATAAAGAGCAACAACGAAAATGAATTCATGAGAATTTAAGCCTGGTGTGAACAAAACCACATGCACACACACATAATTAAACAATAAAAATAAATCTTTAGAAATAATAGGTTTTTTTGACTGTTTTCAGTATTTATTAGAATCTGGTGTTTGTCTTCGACTACTGAACACAATATTCATAATACAAAACAGGAGGTCACTGAAAATTATTTCAAGTCTTGGATCCTCCTTTTGCAAACCAAAAGAAGAAATTATAGACTTGAATTCTTTTTTCTTTCCTTTTTATAAATTGAAAATAGATTCTTCTCTCATCCAATATATCCTGACCACAGTTACCCTTTCCCTTCAGTCCTCTGAGCTTCCCCACACCTTTCCTCTCCCTTAGATTCACTACCCCTCTCTTTCCTCTTCAGAAAAAAAGGAGGTCTCTAAGAGACAACAGCCAAACAGGACAATACAAGATACAATAAGACAAGGCGAAAGCCCTCTTATAGAGGCCGGACAAAGCAACGCAGTAGGAGGAAGAGTCCCAAGAGCAGCAAGAGTCAGAGATACACTCACTCCCACTTGTTAGGAGTCTCACAAAAACACCAAGCTAACAGCCGTAACACACATGCAGAGGACCTGGTGCAGACTCGTGCAGGTCCCCTGCTTCCTACTTCAGTCTTTGTAATCCCTGCTAGCTGATATGGTAGGCCATGTTCTCCTGGTGTCCCTCATCCCTTCTGACTCCTACAATCCTCCCTTCCCCTCTTCTGGGTACCTGATCTCCGAGGTGAGGACCCAGTGGAGACCTCCAACGTAGACTTTCTCTCCACATAATGTCTGTAGGTCCCTGCACCTACTCCCATCTATTGCCAGAAGGAAACCTTTCCGATGACTACTAGACAAAGCACAAATCAAGGAATATAGCAGATATCATTAGGAACCATTTAAATGGTTTTTTTCTGCCTTTCTCTCTGATTTCCTCTCTTCCTCTCCTCTCCTCTTTCTTGTCTCCTCTCCTCTCCTCTCTCTCTCTCTCTCTCTCTCTCTCTCTCTCTCTCTCTCTCTCTCTCTCTCTCTCTCTCTCTCTCTCTCTCTTTCCCATCATGTTTGGTTCTAGCATAAATCTCTGGGCTATCCAGTCTCAGTTTCCTGGCCATCAGGCAGTGTAGGCCATGGGCTTCTTCTTGTGGCTGGCTTTCAAGGTATGTCAAACATTGGTTGGTCACTCCGACAAGTTTTGAGACACCATTACCCAAGCACATCTTGCAGGCAGGACAGACTTGGAACCAACATGCTTTAGTTCCTTTTTAAGGATGTATGCCAAATTTCAATTTAAGCATTAAATATCTTTGCATTATGCAGTCTTACTATGTACAAAAACTTCCTTCTAACAATTAAACAAATTCATCTTATTAAAGGGCTCCTTAATTATGAAATAAAAGAAACGTTGAGATAAAATAGAAAGTTGTGGTTGTGAGAGCAACATTTTGAAGAGTCTTTATTAGATTCCAGCTCTCAGACATTCTAACAGAAACTCTCTGGGCTTGGGTCCTGTGATTACATTTGATTTTAGAGTTTTCCCTTACAGGTGTCATGGCCCACTCCAACCATTCCAGCACCTCCTTCTTTCTGACTGGCCTCCCAGGCCTTGAGGCTGTGTATGTCTGGCTCTCCATTCCTCTCTGCATCATGTACATTGCCTCTCTGGCAGGGAATGGCCTGATCCTGTGGGTTGTAAAGTCAGAGTCCTCCCTGCACCAGCCTATGTACTACTTTCTATCCATGCTCGCAGTGACAGACCTGGGTCTGTCTGCCTCCACACTGCCCACCATGCTCACAATCTACATAATGGGTGTCAGGGAAGTGGCATTAGACATGTGCCTTGCCCAGCTTTTCTTCATCCATACTTTCTCCATCATGGAATCCTCTGTGCTGCTGACCATGGCCTTTGATCGTTTTGTGGCCATCAGTAGTCCCCTACGCTATGGCACCATCCTCACTAACCCTCGAATTGCCAGCTTGGGCCTGGCCATTGTGGTTCGCAGCGTTGGTCTCCACATCCCTGCCCCCATCATGCTGAAGAAGCTGCCTTACTGCCAGAAGCGCCAGCTTTCCCACTCTTACTGCCTGCATCCAGATGTTATGAAACTGGCCTGTACAGACACCCACATCAACAGTGCCTATGGCCTCTTTGTGTTCTGTCCACCCTGGGTGCGGACTCTGTGCTCATTGTTCTCTCCTACGGGCTAATCCTCCACACGGTGCTTTCAATTGCCTCCAAGACTGAGCGCCTCAAGGCCCTCAACACCTGTGTCTCCCACATCTGTTCTGTACTGCTGTTCTACACACCTATGATTGGCCTGTCCATGATCCACCGATTTGGCAAGTGGGCTTCCCCATGCAGCCGTGTGTTGCTCTCTTATCTTCACTTTCTCACTCCTCCAGTGCTCAACCCGGTTGTATACACTATAAAGACTAAGCAGATCCGGCTGAGGATTCTGCGCATCTTCCGGTCTGGTGGAGCAAGCATTGGAGATACCCAGGGTCACTAAGTCTTCTCCTGTGGTGGTAAAAATATGGAGCTACAGTTTCTATTCTGAATATTAATTATGACTGATAAGCTAGACAATGTTGTAACTGAACATGTGAATGAATACAACTGATTTTTACTGGAGTTTAAAGAAGTAAGTGGCAAATAGGATACTGCTCAGGTTTGTAATTCATTGGTACAGAAGCATTTTGAAAATAGATAATCGGATGTAATCTTTACAGGCACAGTCATTTGTCTCTTCAGTGTACATCCCTAGCCATAAATGCATCATTTTAATGTATTAGAAAATTGGTTAGTACTTGCTTAATGAAAGATTGAATGGATGAACAGGTAATGTGTCTGAGATTATTTGTTCAATGTACAACCATTCAAGATTCAATGCTAGGTGAACGCAAGTAAAGCTATGAACACTTATATAGTTTTACTATTTTTTCTCTTGTTCAATAGAAATTTCAAAGGTGCTATAACTACTCAGTTAAACTGTTTCTTGTGTCACAGTTAGCAAAACAGTTTTTTTCTTTTTTTTATTATTAAGAAATTTTCTATTCACTTTACATACCAACCACAGATCCCTTCCTCTTCCCACCCCCAGCCTTCCCCCCCCAACCCACCCCTTATCCTCACATTTCCCAAGTCAAGATCTCCCATGGGGAGTCAGCAGAGCCTGGCACACTCAGCTGAGGCAGATCCAAGACCCTCCTCCCTGCACTAAGGCTGTGCAAGATGTCATACCCTAGGCACTGGACTCCAAAAAGCCAGCCCATGCACCAGAGACAGATCCTGATCCCTCTGCCTGGGCCCCCCCCCCAAACAGTTCAAGCTAAACAACTGTCTCCCATATCTAGAGGGCCTAGTCTAGTCCTATGAGGGCTACACAGCTCTTAGTTCACGGTTCATGGGTTTCCACTAGCGTGGCTGGTCATCTCTGCACATTTTCCCATCATGATCTCTATATCCCCTGCCCACAGAATCCCTCCTCTCTCTCATCAATTGGATTCCTGGAGTTCAGCCTAGCACCTGGCCATGGATCTTTGCATCTGCTTCCATCAGTCACTGAATGAAGGCTCTATAATGACAGTTAGGGTATTCACTAATCCAGTCACCAGAGTAGACCAGTCCAGGCACCCTCTCAACCAAAACAGTTTTTTAAAGGGTGTAAGAGTAGAAACAGTTTCAGTCAAGTCTCCTTAGATGTAATCTTAAAGAATCTCAGTAGCCTTGAGCATAACCAATTGTGCGGTAGATAGCCCGAGAGTCAAATACACGAGAGCTGGTACAGGGGTTCACATATGATGTGGTGCCTATTTCATTGTACATACTTCACTTTCTGAATTTCTCTTTATATCCAATTATGAAGAGAACATAAAGGGCTTGCAACATAGAGCTTAAGCAGTAAACTGACAACAGAGGAAAACACTGTCATGAAAAAGTGAGTTATAGAACAAATAAAAGAATCAGAAGAATGAGGACTGAATGTCCTTTTGGTATTTGTTCATGATCTGAAATATCAGTGGATATGCTACAAAAAATGTATGTTTTATAGTTGCAGGTGATAATGATAAAATAGCCTAATAATGTATTTGTGCCTATTTTAGAAATATATTGTTATTTAAACAGAACATGTTTGTTTATTATATCAAGTAATTTTCCTATATGTTAAAGGCATAATAGTACTATGTAATTGCAACAATACATTTAGTTGAAATATGCATATTGCTCAGTTACATTTTCATCATTTTGATTTAATAACAATAATTATGGGATAAACTATGATGTTTAAATGTATGTATGGAATGACGAATGGTAAAAGAAGATATTTAGCATACTCCTTTCTTAAACAGTTATATTTCTCCTGGAGAAAGCATTCCAAATACTCTCTTTTAGTATTTTTCAAATCAAAACTCACTATTGTTGACTAGATTTATCCTCCTGAGACATTTGAGCTACAGCCCTTGTCCAACTGTAACACTGATCCCATGGAGAAATTTCTTCACTCCTTCCTGCCTTTATACTTTCTGAAACTTCTGATAACCACTATTCTAATCTCAACTTCCATGAAAACAATCTTTAAGTCATATCAGAATTTTTTTCTGATTTACATAAATGGGAATTGGTAACTGTTGGTTAAATTAGCACTGCTCGTGGCTGGCTGCCACTTGCGGCAGCCATGCCAGTGGAGGAGCATGTGATCAGAAGAATCACAAGCTATGGTTACCTTTTTACAGCTTTATTGGGAGATAGGAGAAGAGAGAGAGAGAGAGAGAGAGAGAGAGAGAGAGAGAGAGAGAGAGAGAGGAGGAGGAGGAGGAGCATGCTGATCAGAAGAATCACAAGCTATGGTTACCTTTTTACAGCTTTATTGGGAGATAGGAGAAGAGAGAGAGAGAGAGAGAGAGAGAGAGAGAGAGAGAGAGAGAGAGAGAGAGAGAGAGAGAACAGACAGAAGGGAAGAAAGCAGAAAGAGAAGGGGGAAAAGGGACGCACAGAGGGCCTGCTCGCTTTTTAGGCTGGGACGCCGTCGCAGGCTGGTGATATAATTAAGGACAATTCTTACAGTAACACATTTTATTGGTAGTGTAATGATGGTGGGAAGGATGACCAGTTCATTCTACACTTGTTTTGTGACACATGATATGTAATGGTAAGGCTCAGAAAAACAAAAACAAAAACAAAACAAGACATCATAGTCTTATTACTTGCTAGCATATACATAAAAACTAAAATGACTGTATGCATCTTATTGTCAAAAAATGAAGTAGTCCAAGAGTACAATGCAACAAATTCAATATTATAAGACAATGGGAGCAGGAAAGGGGAGGAAGGCTGACAGAAGGTATGTGTGTTTGGGGTGGTATCCATAATGTGATTATATATATATATATATATATATATATATATATATATATATATATATATATATATATATATAAAACTGCCTTAATAAAACCCACTGTTTTGATGATAACTGAAATAATATAAAACACAAAAGATTGGTTGACTTAGAGTTACAAAGAAGAAATTTGATTTCCAATTAACTCATAGAGAATCATGAAGGGTAACAAAGGTGACAATTAACAAATAATACATGTCAGTTTAAAATGCTTTCCATTATTTTAAACGCAGTGACAATCATGGTGAACTTTGCCATGGGCTTTTATTCAGAAGCCATGCATGGAATTGTCTCTTCCTGACTTAGGACCTCCTAAATAATCAGATAAACAAATGGTTTACAAATAACACAGAAAGATTCTTAAGAAACGTGTTTTCTGAGTGGGAAGATGCCAGATGTGATAACAGCATTCATAGTTCAGTATTTGCTATAATTGTGACTGAAATCACATAAGAGGAATGGGAACATTCATGGATGTCCCAGTGTGTGTGTGTATGTGTGTGTGTGTGTGTGTGTGTGTGTGTGTGTGTGTGTGTGTGTGTGTGTTATTCACTATTATTAAACATTGAAATGGAAGGTGGAGAGGTGAGACTCATGAGAGTTATGCACTGACATCTAGAGTTATTTGAAATACATGCAGTCTGGAGAGTGTCGTTCTATTGTTGAAGCTATACATATACAATTCCACTCCCCAGATTCTTCAAGTAGAGCAAATGCCATGCCATAGAACTTTAGATATTTCTCTGCAGACATGCTACTGCAAAAAGGTCTTCAGGTTTTCAACACTTAAATTAAAGTTATTCAAATTGGTACATATACAGCTACCAATTCTTGCTGTTAAGGTGGGACAATTTGATGTTTTGTTGTATGTATACACTGGATAAGTTTATAAGTTGTTTAAACATATCTACTGAAACACTGATCATTTCTCCAAGTTAAAGATACCTCAAACCCTGTTGTTGAGATTTTGAAGCATATGGTATCTTGTTGTTATCTTTATATACCCTGATACAAACAGCATAGCAGAACTTCTTTTTTTTTTGAAGATTTAATTAGTTTTATTTTGTGTACATGAGTGCTTCACCTACACTATATCCATGCACCTCATGTATGAAGTGTTCACAGAGGTAAGAAATGGGTATTGGATCCTAGTGAGATTCTGTCTCTCTAATTTTTTTCTTTTTCTTTTTTTTATTGTTATTTTGTTTTGTTTTCTTTTCTTTTTAAAGACAGGGTTTCTCTGTGTAGTTTTGGAGCCTTTCCTGGATCTCACTCTGTAGACCAGGTTGGTCTCCAACTCACAGAAATCTGTCTGGCTCTGCCTCCTGAGTGCTGGGATTAAAGATGTGTGCCAACACTACCAGGCCTATCTTCCTAATTTTTTGATAAATAGATAAAATAACAATAAGAAAGAAAATTGACATCATGGACTGATGGGATGTAGAACTGATTATCTTATGTAACTGTTTAGGGAGAAATGTTGAAATTATATTGTCATCTCAAAAATGTAAAAAGTAAAAGAAAACTAAGGAGAATTGTCAATTTCTCAGTTTTTCAGGTTTTATTATTCACAATTGAAAGACAATTTCAAGGCTCCTTTCATATTGGAATATAGTAATATGTTTTTAAGGGAAGTATTTCTGTACTCTTTACTATGGTTTATCTATGAATAAAATAGAGAAGACAAAACAATTATTTTGTTCCAAATATTTGTACCTTCTGGTTGTGTTATTGCCTTCAGGGAAATATGCAGAAGAGATATTGATCAGCATTGCTAGATTTAAATGAATAACAATTGCTAATTCCCCCAAATGCCTTAATTCCACCATAAATGTTACCAGATGTCTTCCTTCCAGTATATACAGAATAGCTTAGTCATAGATCAACCAATAAATACAAAATTGGGTTAAAATATAACTGGTTTATTGCAATACCAAAAATGTTTTACACTAATGTGTTTAAGAAAGTTCATTTTAGTAATTAGTATAGAAATTTTATTGACATACACTAAGAAATAAATAAAAACAAATGTACATTTAATGAATTACATTTTATTATTTTATAATTGGAGTGCAATAAGAGATCAGAGGTACCTTTGAAAAATCTGGAAT